GGGGTTTATGCTTATTCGTTCCACATCCATCAAGGGGGGTCTCCCAGAGTGAGCTGAGAGCAGCTTTCGTGAGCCCATACTGAGCCATAGCCATCACCGCTCGCAGCAAGCTACTGTTCCCCAACCTTTTGGTCAGGCAGTCGGCAATCATGTATTGCCCGGGGAGCCAGTACACAGTAGTCTTCAAAAGCTCTGCACTCTTTGACATCACAGCTACATCAAGTTGAGCCCTGCGGCAAAGTCCTGCTGAGCCGGACCTCCTGTGAAAAAGATCATACAAAGCCCGAGCATCCGTCACAGCAGCTCCTTCTTCTTCGTCTCGGACACGGACGACTGCGATCGTCTCGTCATCCCCGTACCGGGTGCCATCGTTGACACAAGTCCCAGGGATCACGGCCTCGCAGAAGAGAGCTTTGGTCCACTCAAGCTCCGCCAGACCATCATCCATGGCCAGAGCCTCGGAACCCAATGACGACTTCACAGCACGCCGAAGTCGATGGCTCTTCCAGCTGTTGATGCTGATCCGTCCGATGCCACCCTCCATGATGGCCTTGTCAACGAATGCCACCAAGAAGCCGCCTTGGCTTTTGTCTCCCTCCAGGTTGCCGACAGAAGCGTCCGTGAAGACCATCCAAATGCCTTCCTCGAGCGGGATGGGTAGCACCCTCAACCTTGTGGAGCTCGTGTTCTTGAGTTCCTGGATCGTCTTGTTGCAGGCCTTCAGGTGCTTGACCTTTGGGCCCTCTTTGCCCCACGCCATGGCAAGCGCACAGGCTGCAGCAACGTCCGGCCGCGATTCTCGGCCGATCCATAATAACGATCCGCCTGCTCCTCGAAGGATGGTCGTCTCGTGCTCGTCCAGGTTTCTTTCCTCGTCCTTGACCTTGTCGAGCGGCAGCACCACGGGTCGGAGCTTTTCGTGTATGTACCGCTCCATGGAGATCTGGATCTCATAGTCTTCCAACTGGTAGACGGTGCGACCAAGATACTCGCCAGAGCCCTTGTACACGCTCCTCCATTTCCCGAATTTGAACCTGCCCCGCAGCTTTTCCATCAAGGAGCTGTGTCGATGATTTCCTCCCTGTAAAAAATCATCCACATCGAGGAGGACCAGCCCGGCGCAGCCCCGCTTCCCAGTGGTGGCTTCAGCTTCTGAAAACGGGAGCACATATAGACAAGGGTCGAAGGTGGATTCTTGGTATCCAAGTTCTGCCAGCACACGGCGCACAGTTTTGCGCCACACTGCGGGCGCGTTGACGAGTCCATAGACCGCCGTAAGGACTCTGATAATTGAGTCCTTGCCCTTCCCCGGGATGCCACTCGGAGGCATCGTGGCGAAGAGCGGGCCTTTGTCTCGCTCATGCTGGTCAGATTGACCAAAAGCACTGCTGACGTCCATGATGATCAGCTCATATAGCGGAGGCTGCTGAGAATTTGAAAGGCCAGGTACACCGTCGGGGTCGGCGGTGTTGGAGCATATCTCTCAAGCTCTTGGGCATCCGGATCACGATGTCACGATGTCCAAGAAGGATCCACCTGGCTTTGGCTTTCCAGGTCTGCCCAAGTTCCTGCTGCTTCTTTGTCAGGATGAAGCGGGGGGGCATGATCCTGTGGCTGAAGGACTCCTTGATCTTCCGGATTTCCTCGGAATCGGTGACGAAGCTGATGGCGCTGGAGCCCTCCAAGTTCTCAATCTCGGTGAGCTTGGCCTCATCAAACATTCTCCGCTCCTGGCTCGTCAGGTTGCGCTCCTGGATCTCCTTGCCTGATTTCTTGGTCAAGCATATCCAGCCAGAGTGGAGCTCAGAGTACGTGTAGAAGACGTCGGTCTTGACCAGCTTGCTAAAGGCCTGAAGGTCTCGGGCATTCGCAATGACAGGGAACTTCCTTTTATCACCCCAGGGCGTCACAACGTCAGCCACCCAGATGCCGCCGACCTTCGACTTTGGTTGTGGGTTGCCATGTTGTCCGGTGCCATCATGTGCTCGCTTGAGGCCACGGTCGAAGAGTCTGCGATCCTCGTCCATGTTCTCCTGGCGGCCTGCTTGGCTTTCCACAGGAACTCCTGGGTCAGGATGTCCAGGTCGGGGACGGTAAAACAGAGTCGTCTCTATGTTCTTGACTCCTTGGGGAAGAGCTCGGCTCAGCATCCGCGGTCGCTCGTCGCCGGTGAACTCCTCATCGGCAACAACCCTGCCCGTGTCCAAGTCCAAAGTGACTCGTCTCGTGACATCGCTCCACATTGGCCCTTTACTGCTAGAGACCCTGAAGCGGTCGGCATTGTTGTCGAAGCGCGTCCACTTCTTGATATCCACGGCTTGTGGCCACTGACCTCTGCCTTCCAAAGGTGTCACTGGCGGAGGCGCCGTGGATGATGCTGATGGTTCATGTCCTGCTGGAAGTATTGGTGGTGGTTCGGGTTGATCCATTCGTGGCCCACGTGACTGAAGTGGAACTCCCGTCTGCCTCGGCCCGGTTCTGGTTGTTGTCGGTTCACCCCTGGACGTTGGTGGTTCATGTAGATCATGGCCCCCAGGAAGAAGCGGTGGTTCTCTCGGAACTGCTCGGTCTTGCGGTGGTTGAGGTAACTCATCTGGGGAGTACCCTCGACGTCCGAAGGTGGCTCCTCCAGGAAGAAGTGGTGGTTCTCTAGGAACTGCTCGGTGGTCTTGCGGGGGAAGAGGTGCTGATGATGGAGCTTCCGGTCCATCAAGGGGGGATCTTTCAAGATCACCACTGTCGACATTCTCCTGCGTCACGTCGACATAGCCAAGTTTTTCACTGTCAAGTCGTAGCCGCTCCTTGGCCATGAGCAGGTCCCTCGGAATTGCTTCCAAACCTTGGACCTCCAGTGGTCCCATTGCGAAGACTTGCGCAACGTTGCACTTCCACAATTCGCCGCGCCTCGTGACCCAGACTGTCGAGCCACGTTGGAGGACTACGAAACACGGTCCAACTTTGGAGAGGGCGCCACGACGGCCCTGCCGCCACACGACCACGGGTTGTCCCTCGGTGAAGACCTGGTTCTCCAACTGCCTCCGTGGTTTTGCCCTGCTTGCTCTCTGCACCCGCTCCTTGGCACCAAGTTCCAGCAGCGCTTTCCGTGCTGCCTGCCGCAGCTCTGAAGCTCGCGTCCATGCCTTGTCCTGCGTGACCGAGAGCTCGTAGTGCTTGTCGTCGCTGGCCAAGTCCAGCGCCACTCGTGGTTGTCGTCCAAGGACACGCTGGGCTGGAGTGAACCCAGATCGGTTGACGCTCGTCTGAAGGGCCCAGGCCGACTCGAACACCAGCAACTCGACCTCGTCCAAGTCACGTGGTTGTGCAAGCTCGCGGCTTTTGTAGTAAATTTTCTTGAAAAGATCACCGCGCCTTTCACATACACCATTTTCCCATGGCGCATCCTGATCACAGACTATCGGTTGGATGCACATGCGCTCGATGCCGCTTTGGAAGTCACCGCCAGTGAATTCGGTGCCCATGTCATACAAGAGGAAGTCTGGCGGCCCGAATGTCCGCACCCACAGCCTCTCAAAGGCCTTCAAGGTGAGCTTTGCCGAACGGCGCAGCGGATCGATCAAGCCGAAGGTGGAGTACAGCGTCCCAAGGCACGTGACGTTAAGGACAGGGTGCTCAGTCTTGTTGTCCAGCCCGTGGATGAAAAGCACGTCGATCCCGATGACCACGTTGAAGTCGTAACATCTCGGGGTGGCCGCTGGCAGTCTAGTAGGGGGTCGCTGCTCCAGATCACAACCAGCACACCGAAAGTAAAGCTGCACGTACTGGATGATATCATTCCGGCAGCCCGCCGCCTTCAGAAGGCGGACAAATTCAGCTCTGCCGGGGTGTCCCTAATTGACATGGGATCTGAGTACTGCACGTTGCTCTTGCACGCTCAGCTCGTGTCCTTCTGCCAGGGTCATACTTTCAGCCTTGTCCCAGGCATAGTAGATCATAGCCGAGTTTGCTTCAAAGACATCCTTGTCCACGGGTCCCTGGCATTCTTTCTCGCACCACCTCCATTCATCATCTTCCCGCACCGCTGTCCAGCGCAGAGTGCGGTGCCCAGGTCCAACCGAATGGATGGGCACGCGCCGCGGATCCAGGCAGAGCATTACCAGGTAGCCTTGCTCCTGAGTCCATCTAGCACGTTTGCCACACGCACGCAGTTCAAAGCTCTCGTCTCGAAGCTGGTCAGGTGATGGCAACCGTGGTGGTCGAGGTGGCGACAGTCTGGGCTCACCATTTTCCATGTAGACGTCCACGTACAAGTTCACATGCTCCTGCTCGCAGGTTTCCCAGAAGCACTCGTCATCCTGGCCACCGGTCATGGCATCAATGCTCTTGGCCAGGTCCTTCTTGACATTCCGGCACAGGGTCACCTCGATGGGATCATGTCGAACATCGTCCATCTCATCCACGAAATCCTGCTGGAACTCCTGGGTCACATAGACTGTGACCTCATCATCGCCAAGGTGGTACTCCGTGGGGCGATGTCCAACACGTTCACTTCACCCTCGTCAATGTTGAAGATCACCCTGGCTGACAATGGAGACTTGGCCATGGTGTTCTTCACGGCCGGGACCTTTGTTCCGGTAAAGCTCCAGACGTAGCTTCGGCTCGGGTCCACCATCGTCGCCAGAATGTCCATGCTCTCGTAGGACAGCCCGATCTCGTCGATCAAGTTTTGCTTGCCTAGTCCGCCGACAGCTTCCCACTCTGCATCCATGAGCCGAAGAAACGTCCCCATGACATCGTCCCATTCGGACATCAAGGTCTGATCCATGCACTTGGGGCACTTCCAAGCCATTCGGTCTCTCAGCCTGTGTGGCCGGAGAGCTTCCCGCTGACAGTTCAGGCACAGCTTGACCTCGAATGCCGTCATGATGTCGTTGAGGTCCAGGCCGCTCCAGGTGAATGGGCAATTGGGGCGGGCGCAAAGCCACAGATAAGCTTTCTTAATCTCGTGCCAGTTCAGCGTCAGCTCTCCTGTCTCGCACTGCGTACATGCCCGAGTCGGAGCCGAGCCCGGCATCATCACGTCCAAGGCCGCCTGGATCTGGTCCCTCTCGAACTCCCAGTCTCCCGCCGACGTTGGCGGTGGAAAGGCCTGGCTGTCCGGCGTCCCGATGCTGAACTCGTCCACATCCATTTCTGCCGTCCTCGCCTGCTGGCCTTGCCGTGGTCGTCGCGGGGGATGTAGAGGAAGCTCCGTGGTCGTCGGAGGTGCCATCGGGCCTTGGGATTGTTGGCCGGTGGCTGCTCCTGCCGGCTTTTCCGTAGAGCTTGGTGCTGTCGTAGCCGTCGGTCGTGCCGTAGACGCCGCTGTGTTCGACGCCCTTCTGGTCAAAGGTGGTGTCCCGGATCGCGGGGGCATCGTCGAGGAACTCGGCGCCGCGGTTGCTGCAGGCGTTGTCGAGCTCATCCCGGTACTCTTCGCGGCCTTCTTGGCTGCCTTCTCTTCTTTGATGCTTTGTGGAGTCTTGTAGGTCGGGGCCTGGTGGACAAGCACCGTGTTCCATTCCGTCATGCGGTCTGGCGTCAGCTTCGGAATCTGCTCGATGGCTCCGCATTCCGAACACTTGGTCCAAGCCCAGTCCCTGTTGCAGCCGTGGCTCGTCGAAGAGTGCATGCACGTTGGCGACTGTCGAAGCACTGGAGCCAAATACTGGCTTCGACCAATGTGCTGCACCAGGGGTCGCCGCACCCCAGCTTCGTCTCGAACAACCGGGATCATCGGGCTCTTTGTCGAGCTCGCCTTCCTTGATGCCTCCAGCAGCTCTGCCTCCTTCTGCTGCATGTCCAGCACCTGTCTCTCTAAGCGCTCTCGCCGAGCTGCTAAGCGTCGGACGTCTCGGAGCTCCGGCTGCTGGACCACCATCATCAGGGAGTTGGCTGCCTGCATCCAGACCGCCAATCGCAAGCGCAAGAAGAAGCGCTTCCAGCGAGACACGCATGTCGCAGGCATTTGCGAATCGAATTGGGGTAGGGAGAGGTCGTGCAGACCAAACTTGAGATCTCCCAAAGCTAGCGGACACTGGCATTGAGAATCCGGCGCCGAACTCAGTAATGCTGACTTCCACATGCCCTGTGTCTCGCCTACGCATGCGCTGGATCACCCCGATGTTGGTATGGAACATGTTCAGCCCTACCATGTCGATAATGCTGCCCATGTCTGTCAACAAATATGCAGGTAGCAAGCACGGAACTGGTCCAGGAACGATTTGCACACGAAGTAATCCTGAACATCCGCTCAACCCAATGGGTATGTAGGCGATTGGCGTTTTCTCTTCGGACCCACAAACACCCCGCACTGTGCCACCATCCTCATTGGTGTACTGGACCCGGAGCCCAAAGTGGTCCATCAAGTGTTGATCCAGCCTTTCCAGAGTTGCTTTGCCAATTAACCCGTGCTGTGCTGCTGTGTCCACCAGTGCCCGCCCCGGAACCTCAGTGGTGGTTGCGAAGTTGTACGAAGGGAAATCCCAGGACAAAGTCGGGGACGGCGGTTGGCTCGAAGAGCAGTACCATTGAAATCACTAGTGGTCATGTCCCCCTGCACTTCTGACATGTATTGCTCAGCAATCGGGCCATGTGAGTTTTGGGTCAAGTACCCAGAGGCACTGTGGGCGGGGGGCTGGACAAAGAACATGGCCGCTGTCGGCCTTTGGCCGCTTGGCTGGCTCGAACTCGCCTGCGAAGCTCTGCTTCGGTCTGGCTGTCTGCCCTTTAACGGGCAATTCCTGGACCAATGCCCTATCTGTCTGCAAGCGTGGCACCGGGACTTCGCCTTCAGCTCTTCCAGGCTCATCCTGGGCCGGCGGTCGCCGCTCTTCTCGAAGCCGCGTCCGACGCGAGCATCTTGCAAGGCACGGCGGTGATCCATGTAGGAGCCGTAGACGCCGAAGGTCCCAGGTGCGGGTCGGTATCCACCGTCCTTCTGGCCCTTGCCATGGCCAAAGCTCTTGCCCTTGTGCCCCTTCCCCGGCTTGCCCTTTGACTTTCCTTTGCCCTTGCCCTTGAAACGGTCGCGTGCTTCGAAGAAAACCCAGGACAGGTAGTCATCCATGAACTCGATCGCTTCAGTTTCTTCCAGGCTCTCTGGGGCATCGGAGTCCAGGACCATGTAGATCTGGCCGCCCTCGGGGTCGTACTCGTCGAAGAAGTCGAGGCCGCCGCCAAGGTCGCCGAAGTCACCGTCGCCGAAGTAGCTGGCGTGCTCCTCGTCTTCCCAGTCCTCTGCCCAGTACGACTTGGCCGGGGTCTCGTCTAAGGTGTCGCCAAAGACTTTGCGGATCGCGATCTCCACCTTGCGGTAGTCTATGCTCCCGTCCGTCAGGACACGGATCCGTTGCTGCTGGTCATTCGTGAAGCCGCCTTGCTTCAGGAGGAGGTGACCCAGCAGGTGGTTCCCGGCATCGGTCTCCAAGAGGTCCAGGCCCTGCTTCTTCAACTCGGAGAAAGCTGCCTTCTTTGACGCCAGGAAGCCGGTAATCGTCTGGCCAAAGCGCCGCTTTCCACGGAAGATCGCCGCCTCGAACGCTTGCTCAAGCCTTGCCTCCTTCAAGTAGGCATGCGACTCCTCAATGATGCCAATGATTTTCTTGTAGCCATCCATGGCGGTGATGTCGTCGACACTCAAATAAAACACAGCAGTGCAGCCAGTCTGCTTCCGAAAGGTATGGCATCAATGATTCTCTTGCCGATCAGGTTCGGGGGCAGTCGCGCCTCGGCCTCGATCAACCAGAGTCGAAGGTTGCGGGCATACTCCCTGTACTCGCTCTCCGGGTGTTCCCCGTTCCAGCTCGGGGCCGCCTCCATCTTGAAGTCCACGTATCGCCTGCCCTGGCCTTCGTCTGACCCATCCAGGCCTCTTCTTCCATACGGCGGTGTGCCGCTTGGCGATCTCGGTCTGACTGGCGAGGCAGCGCCGAGGTCGCCTCCGCTCGAGCGAGGCGCTCAATCATCATCCGTAGCCATTTCCACAGTCGCCCGCGGTGGCCTTCACAAAACCTGCGGCTGCAATTCAGCCGCGCCCGATCCAGTCCCCAATTGACTGGCTTTCAAAAGTTCCAAGGCCAGCAGGCCTCTGCCACAAAAAAAACAGGTAAGTCAGGAAGCTGCACACGATGAAGACAAAAGGTCACCTTCCCCGAGCGGGTAATCGCCGTCAGGGCTCGGTAGTCGATCGCCTGAAGAGAAGCCAGGCCAGCAGCGAAGCCAGCAGCAGGAGACAGCGGCGCAGCGAAGCGCCCAGGAGTCCAGAAGTCGCGGAACCGCCCTGGTCGTCACCAGAGCTCCGCTGCCATGCGAAGCCAACTACTCCCAAGCAAGCGGATCTAGGGCTCACTTTTCCTTGTGCTCAAGGCGCCTGCGGTCAGAGTCAGCTTTCACACTCGGAAATGGCTTGCCGCCCCATGATGAATACTCAAGACGGGCCCTTAGTACGATCACTCTGGGGTTTATGCTTATTCGTTCCACAGTGTATTTGCGGGGCACCCGAAGTGAACCCAGAAAACAGGCCGAAGAGCCGTTCATGTGCTGGAAAAGTCATGCAGAAAAACACAAGATGCGTACGGGGCCGTTGCAAACTATGGGAAAAGCTGCACACATCATCACGGGGCCTCTTGAAAAGTGAACGTCTTGGGAAATCATAGAACCTGCTGTGGTGAAAATTTCGATTCAAAGTTCGTGGATGACAAAGAATCGGAGCCCAACCCAATGTTCACTACATGTCCTGCAAATATTTGGCAAGATGCTTCTGCCGGGATCCCGCTATTCAGACATCGACCTCTGGGGGCGGTACCCAAAGAGAACCATAAGACTTAGGATGACATCTCCGCACAACATTTAGAAACTCTGCAAAGAGCGATCCTGCGCGAAATGGAATGCAATAAGATTGGCAAGGAATGTCCCTGGGCAAATTTGTCTGGATGTAATCTCTTTTTATAAAGTCCTGGAGACACCTGCAAGCCTTCACGAAATCGCTTTCTGCAGAAGTTAGATTCAATACCATGTAGGAGCTGCTGCTCAAAGTTCAGTATGGACTTGAAAGTGTTTGTACAACGCAGCTTTGAGGCCCAAATCCTTACCAATGCAAGATGATGGCAACACCGGAAGTCTAGAATGAATTTCTCAGCATAGGTTGGCTCTAGGGCTTTGGGGAAAGATGCAGGAAAGGTCCAATATGGTTGTTGCATCCACTTTCAAGCTTCTGAAGTCTGCAATAGATTACGAGCCCCGGCCAATCCTACATGATGGAGCTTGGTATGAAAAACTCTTTCGTCGAACTTCGATTCATCCAGGTCAGGGAAAGTAATTGTCCACGGCATCACCATCGTCTGCAAGTCGCAAAAGAGGTTGTCCAGCAACCCACTCCCCGACGGAGAGAAGCACATACAGTACTCCATCTAGCACACACTAAGCGCGAACAGGAAACAAGGGGAACCCAACCCAAAGTTGAGTGCGACCCTGGGACGCTCAACCAAGGACAAGGCATGAAAGTGACTTGGCATCTGCTTGATGCGGGCAACCAACCGAGAAGAACCTCTGGGTCATACACGTTGACGTGCCAAGTTCGAGTAGAGCTGAAAGCTGCACAACTCGGAACCTGCCAACGCAAAACTGCCAATGCTAAATTATCAAACAACATCAAGAACTATCAAGAACCCATTTAGGGTGGGTGACACCCTTCCTGCATGCCAAGCTTGATGACATCGGCAGCTGGACACGATGACGATGCCTGCGACAAGGCCATGTTCCGTTCAGGTCAACCAAGCGTGAACACCTGGCCTTGGTCATGTCCATGGCTTGAGCGCAGGCTCACACGAACAATTGCTTTGAATTGTTCCTGAACGCGTGCATGCTCTGCGACTATGAGGCCTATACTTGAAGACACTCCTTCTGGCCTGGAACAACAGTCGTCAAAAACAGAGCCTCTCAAGTCATACACCGCTATGTCCTGCTGCGCCGAGTACGCAGGCGGATGTTCGCTGATCCGACTGAACTAGAAAACTCGCCGGGTCTCAAACTGACTATGAGGATGCATGCAGGAGTGGTAAGTACGTTGTATGCGGGCACGGGGCTGCAAGCCAACATGCCTTCAAAATCTCAATCGGATTCCTGCGCGAAGCTGTTAAAGCCCCAAAGCACCTGACGGTTCAGGAGGATTGCGAGGTTTGCCAGCCCCCGCAAGTTGGAAGAGGACGCTCGTATGTAGATCTGAACTAATGATCTACTCACGTACAAGGCTACATTACGTACATACAATACATACGCGCATATCAAGCAGAAAGCATATCTACATGTCCACATCAATACACATATCCCTATGTATAATATGTAGACACACATATATACACTTATACAGATACGTACGCGCACATTTATGAAGACAATTCACCAAGAAGCCCATTGATGCACCAGAAAACAGCCTTTCAGAAAGTCATGTTTTCGCCATCTCAAACTTTTTTCATGAAGACCTTGTAAGTAGTTTCGCCATACACTACCACTTCCCCAAAAAGCCATCCCAATCGTAGAGCTTCAATATCATGGAGAATAAACTGGAACATCAAATTGATAATCAAATGGAAGCTACCATATGTACGGACTCCCTAAGGGATATATAGGCACCCCAATACTAGAGATTGAAATGGAAAAGAATATGAGAAAGGAAACCATCAGGGGTAGGTGCTGTTAGCAATCCTTCCTGCACCAAACAGGCTCTCATAGATGTTACTGAAACTACAATGATCACGGCACTTCCAAGAGCATGCGTGCCACATCTTTGAGATCCCGCAAAGCGGCCTAGATCTGCGCAGTCTACATGTCCGGCTTGACGACACCGAAAACGTAGGGTGCAGGCTCAGCTACGCCGTGAGTTTCATGAGACTTGAGATCTTGGGGCCGATAAGGAATAAAGAGCGCCTGTCTGCGACTTGTGAACATGGAAGGGGCTGCTAGATGGAAGTTAATACTTCTGAAAGCCAGCACTGCAACCATCAGAAGCACGAGTCACACGCATGAGTCACGCGTTATGCCTCCAAACAGCATCCTGGCACCTCCTCCTGTTGCAACCCCTCATGCATGTTTTTGCACTTGCCCACTGCTGCACTTCGCTACCGCCTCACGGTCCATTTGACCGAAGGCACAGGAAATTCGAATAGGCATTATCGGCAATCATTCGTGCCAGTGAGCATGTTGAAGTTACAGCAGAATGCGGAGATGGACCCGCCGATGACCTGAGAGCATTCGAAGCCTGTGACTGGGTCACCAATCATTGGGCCGAAAGGACAAAATATGGTGGGCGCGTACATGGGCAAGTTGACGGTGCCAAGAATGCCCACACTGACGTACGCAGCACAGCCAGCTGCACTGCAGCTGGCACCCACGCCTACACCAAACCCTGCCCAGACTGCCTTTGCAGTCACGCCAACTGCGAAGCCCATGTCGATTGAGATCCATGTTACCGGTGACCTGCCGTTTATGAGATTGACGAGTCCTGTGGCCATGTCGCCTACAGTGACTCCGGCCCCAAAGGCAACGTTCCCTGGAACGATATCTTTGGCATAGCCGGTGGTGACAAACTCAAAGAGGTCACCGATGCAAGCGAACAACGTGAGCAAGAACTTGCCCACCGTTTCTACCGCTTTGACCTGGGTTTGCGAATTCAGGGAGGAATTCAGGACCGATGGTTCTGAGATCGGACTTTTGCTTGCTTGCAGTATAGTCCGGACTTCAATCAAAAAAACTCCTGCTCTGAATATTGGCGACCACCGTTTTTGCGACTTTCTTGACCGCTTTGCCGACCTTTTTGAAGAAGCCTTTTCCACCCCGGGCTACCTGGCTGGGTTTAGACTCCGAGGGCATGGGTGCTACATGAGCCGTGATCTGTAAGGCTTGTTAAGGGGGATACTACGAGATAAGACTATAGCTGACATGACTCTGAAGTCTCATTCTCTTTCTAAGAATGTTTCTGCGTAAGCCTCCTCATCATCCACTTCGGTAATGAGGTCTCCACCCTCCTCCAACATGTCTTCATGGTTCTCGATGGATGACCTGGGACGATGAGAATGATGCATTCATTCCATAACACGTGTAACACTGGGAGCAGTACTGGCAGGTAATCCAAGTAATCAGGGCGGCAATAACAGCACGAGTAGCAACTTCAATACGGTAGTGCCAGTACGTACAGCAGCGCTACGGCTCGAGTGCTTTCAAGTGTACAAAAAACAATTCACATAATGCAAAATGTTGAACCGTTGGAAATATTCGCTCCCTGCCCTTTCTGCTTTCTCTTGCATTAGTGCTCGCGGAACCCCCAGACCTTGGGTCTACCCTTTCAACAGTATGTAAGCTCCGTGACCGCACATGCAAGCCATAACCTCCCAAAAAATGTCATCTAAGCCTTGCATGATTCAGGCAGAGCTGCTCTCGAGCCACCAGCAAAGCTCTAGCCACCGGGGCGGCCTGGCCATGTCACAATCAGCGGGGACTGTTATCCAGTATCATGCCTAGAAGCAATGGCAACGATCATTGCAATTCTCATGATGCAGGTAGTACTACCAGAAAGCTACCGAAAACAGATGCACAAAAGATCAAAAGGGTTGATGAGCAGCCAGAATGTGCAAGCACGGAAGCATCTCAGGCCTGGGGATCCCCTCGCGTCCAGCGAGCTCTTTCAACCCGGTCCTCTTCTTCTTGGAACTTCCGGTACTCCACCTGTGGGATTCCGTAATGTTTAAGGCCGAAGAAGGCGAATTTATGAGCATTTAATCGTGGCTGTGGCATGCTGCAGCAGTTCTATATGAGATTTTGTGGCAGGGATTTCCAGGCAAGAAATACGGCTGCCTGTATCATGATGATCAGCTAACTTTCATGTACCCATTAACAACAGCGATGAACCTTCAGGTGCGAATATCTGACGAACCCTGGTCTTTGGGAGAATGTGGCAATCTATAGGACGGTGTCAAGCCTGTGGATTCTACGGGATCCTTACCTGCCTGGTCAAAGAACAGGGTGGCACGGGTGTGATTGACTTGAGCTAGAGCAGTGGTGTACGGCATCACGAACTCCATCATGGCATCTTTTCCTTTCTGCCCGTAGCGCTTCCAGGTCTCCACCCCAGACTTGGACTTCTGATTGTAGTCAAAGAATCGACCAGCACGCGAATACGTTTGGCTTTGCAGCATTGAGGCAAAGCGCTGAACATGCTCGACCATAAAGTTCTTGACTCGGCGCTCCAGCCGGAGGCGCTTCCGAACCTCGCCACGCAATGTCTTGGCCTCGTCGGTGTCTGTGAGAGCCATGGTCTGCAAGTGCGAAACAAAGTGGATGTCCCAAAAGTTTTCGTGGTCGCAACCGAGCTTGTGGCAGATTGGCTTCCACACACTTTGGATTTGCTCCACCATCGCATCCATGGAAGCGTTTGCAACCTCAGCATTCCCCATGTAAGGTTTTGAACTGTCGACATTCTACAAAAAAACTACTCTAGGTGCTAGGTGTTTGCCCTCCTCAATTGGTCAGTGTGAGCCGCGTGCGCATCCAGGAGCCTATGTGTCACATCTGTCGCACGTGCCATGGCTGCAGACATACCCAAGGTGGACGACAAGTCCTCTTGGACTTGAAGGAGGCTTGCCTCGTAGGTCTCTGGCTTGGAAAAAGCATCGCAACGGTACTGATCCGGTACCTGCGTAGCCAAGTGCAGGTGTGGCTCCGCTTGCTCGATGGTGATTTGTCTCTGCAAAACCGGCCAGGTCTGTTCCACAAACCTGTCAAGCATCTCCATGTACGAGGCATACATCGACATTTCAAAGTGGTTCGGCGTTGCGTCTTCGATGAGACAGCTGGCGATGATGATGCACTCTCGGATGTGCGGGAAGGAGTTCCGAGGACAAAACAGTGGGCCATCCTGGCCTGGCATGCTCGCATGGAGCGCGGTGAAAAAGCCACTCACCTGTCTCAAAGTCTCGTTTCAGTGGGTCCTATGATGGGGATGCTGTCTTGGAGCGCTCTCAGGATATCCCTAGCTTTGAGACACAAATGGTTGTTGATATAATATGTCTCAAGGAACCTTGCTTGGTAAACGACCTGAGATTCCTTTCATGAGGCACAAGCTTGAGCATACCTTAGTTTTGGTAAACGCGGACCTTGTCATATAGGACCCGCAAGTCATCAAACTGGTTGCCAAGGTGGAGCGTGATGTTTTCATCGCGCGGGGCATATCGCCCAGAGAGCAAACCTGCTCAGTTGAGCGGACATGACACGAGCAGGAGATACTAGCACACACAACAGACCTCAGAAGCCTTAAATCAGCAGGATGGTATCGGCCCTGAAGATAAAAGCCTCAACAATGTGCGGCTGACAACAGCTGCACAATCGATCCTGAAGCAGAAGCCTCAGCATGATGATACGCAGACGACAGCAGCAAGACAGTAGCCAAGCCCCGACATGGTAATACAATGGGCATGACAACAGCCAAATGGCAACACGATTGGTCCTGCCACGTCTAAAATGTGGTGTCTTCAGCATGAGCCGGCATCATCATCATCATCATCATCATCATTACAATGAGTAGCGATCATGATGCTAGAAAATCCTGGCCAACCACAAAACACGTCGCCGCGGGACACGTTTCGATTTGTCCCATTGAATGACACAGGCAAGAAAACAAATCGCCCTCCCAATATTGTAATGACATGCAGACGCTAGTAGCAATTTAGCCAGCAAAGCTCTAATGCAAGGGGGCCTTCGTCCATTTACATGATGGAGGTATCAGGCAGCCACCTATCCGGGCCTTGCAAGCAGCCAGGCTAGCACACCGACCCCACACACTTGCGCGGGCCATCGCCCATTACGGACAATGGCTGGCTTTGCGACATGACTGTGCAATCAGCGTAGCCTCATTGCTTCCCACCTTGCTACTCCTGTGCCCTTCGCCTTTCGCTCGGCCCTGTTCACCTCCCTTTCCTTTCCACTCCCTTACTTCCAAGGGTGGCTTAATCAATGAGTCACAGCTCCAGGTGCCCTTGATTGATCGTCTGGTTCGACACTCCAGGTTGGGCCATCATTTCGACGAGGCGGGGCGAAAACCAAGCCTATGAATCGGCAGACAGTGAAAAGCTTAAACAAGCTGAAATACACAAAAAGCTGCAGTCTGGAGATTCATTCATCAAGGCCAATGAATTGCAGATGGTAACTTCCATGTCCTCATCTCCACCGACCCAAATATCATTTTGAGATCCTCTACACGATAAGGCCAACTCCGGATTCCGGATACTACGGACATTATCAGACCAGTCATGTCAACCCTGACCTTTTGTGTTTTTTGTTCTTTCGTTTTTCATTCTCGGCGTGTTTATGGAGCGTTTATGGATGAAAGGTGAGTCAGCAGCACTACTTGGGAGCAAGCCAAGGAAGGGCAAGGCAAGAATGGGCAGGAGTTGAGTCGCCAACGGACCCTCATCATTGTCACGATTTACATCCATTTGCCAACTCGGAATTCACCTCGTGTTCCTACACACAACGGTAAGGCGCTCACCCTTTCTTTAAAGGTTGCCTCAGAATCCATTCGGAAAACCCGCGGATTGCTGGAGGATCTGGAGGGAACACGCTTACAATGACAAGCCAAAGATGCTGGCAGTTGGGCGGAAGCAGAGGCACTGGAGATACGGGGACGCTGAAGGGTGAGGGCATTGGGGCAACGCCAGCGAAGGTAAAAGCAAGGGCACGACGACAACCAGGCCACTCTGCCACAAGTCCTACGTGAAACTACACAAAAAAAATATTCCCATGAGAAGGAGAGGCATGCTTTCTACAAAGGAGAACGATGCTGCGTGTGAAGCCTGTGAAGTTGCTGATATTGGTGATCACGACGGGGAAGGCCACAGCCAGGTCGGCTACGTAGCTGTAATCGTCGGGCACCCAAGGCTCCTTGCAAGTTACAGGGATTTCCAGGCTGAACTGTGCAATTGAAGGCAGTCAAAACGTGCCAAAGATAAAAATCATGTTTACTCTGGTTCACATGCTGCGTGAAAGTGGGTGTACGAGTCTCGAGCTCTAATCGTTTGACCCATTTCGTGAGCAGCGAGGAGCCTCCTCATCTGGGTCTTCCTCGTCGTCCTCCTCATCCAGCGAGTTTGTCTTGAAGGCAGATACCACGCCGAGGAGAGAGAAAACGAGACACCAACGGGAAAGCTTCATTAGCTGAAGAAAGGCAGATCTGCAGAGAGAAGATTGCGAGATCTAACCGGATCTTGTGTGTCTAGACTGTCTAGACTTGAGCTCCAAAATGGCTGCGATTGGATTGAGATGTAGCATGATAGGGGCGTAGCACGCCTTGATGTTTGATATGTTTGATTCAGCTTGGGGGGGTGAGGGCTTCCATCTCACGAGGGCATGGCGGCATTGGCAACCTGTGTAATTCCTCGGGCACTCTGTCCTTGATTCAGCGTGCAGTGCGACTTAAGGGATTCTACAGCTTCGGTTGGCACGGAGTTTCTGCTAACAATCCATAAATCCTAAATGTACATATTGTTTTCTAGGGGGCATCTGATCGCGCAAGGCCTTTGAAACAACATCAATATTGCACAGCAGTCCAGCAAGCCCAGGCTTGTCCATGCAGGCTCGCATAACGATGAACAACTGTTCTAATTTCCATTGGGGGCACTGTGAAAGTTGGCACGCGAAGGCATACCCACTAAGTGGTTGCGAGCGTCAGGAGCTCAGGACTAGGCGCTGGCAATTGCCAGCCATGCTGGCATTCCAAATGAGAAAGCTAGTCGTCAGGCCTCCACAATTCTTCCTGCTGGCTCTGGTGCCTTCTACACTATGTTCAGAACAAGCTGTCTGGCGGAGCACGTCGTTTTCTAACGCAATCGCCTTTCACCAGAAAGCTCGAGCGAGCTCCCCGAATTAGTCATGGATCAACAAACAACACAACGACAAAAATGACCTAAAGCGACAGCTCCAGTAAACCTTCCATGCGGCACGTATCAAGCAAGACACAGGGCTGCAAACATCCATCGGTCGGCAAGCCCAATTACATCGGCTCTGCCCTCGCTCTGGTGAGACTGTCCCAGCACACATAGAAAAGGTTTCTGCATCTGGTAAAGCCGCAGCTGCTGCGTCACTCACTGGGACCTCGCTTGCTTTTCTTGCCTGCAGCTGGACTTGACTGCTAGTCAGAAAACTTGCAGCCAGAAATTCATGCCTGACACGGTGCAACATGCGGCCTTTCAGCTTTGCTTTCTTCTCCTTCTTCTTCTCCTTCTTTTTTTCCTGCAAGCTTTGCGTGCGCAAACGTGAGCTGTGCGGATGCGAGCCATGACGAAGCCAATATGGTGTATGCAAAACGCCAAGACCTGAAGACCATGGGTGTTGCGAAGATAGTTGAGAGCTTGCTGACACATGTTCAAGAGAAGCTCATGACAGATTGCTGGCATGCATCAGCGGGTCGACGGATAAATTGGAAACCAGAACAGCTGAATCGGAAACTCGAACGTAACGGCGTCATCGGAAACCAAGAGGCTTGAATTGGAAACCAAGGTCTGAATCGGAAACCCGAACCAGGATCTGTTCATTCGATTTGAAACCTACTAGCGTTGAGTACCACAAAAGCCGCCATGTCACAGGCTTAGGGGTCTTGCTCTTGGGTCAGCATGTAGGTTTACGGCAGCGACCATCTTATGCGGTCAAAATCAGAATTCGACCATGTCTGGCTTTAGTGGCAGGACTAACAATCCGTGCCGTGCATGGGCAAAGCGTCGTGTTCAGTCGTTTGTCAACCCTACAGGAACGTAAGAGGATGTTGGCTCCACGTGTTCAGCTCGCAGAAGAAATAAGATTGATGACAAGTAACCTCAGGAACTCTGGATGCCGGCAGTCCTTGACGCGATGCTTCATTTTGGAGACTTGTTCCTGCTGGTGATGTGAAAGAGGTTCGCTCACCAAGGTTCAGGTGTTTGGTGGGTCTCTTGCCGTTATTGTAGCAGGCTTATGACAGCGGAAATCACTGCACAGCTGCCAAGCGCGGGAGTCTCTTGCACCCATTCGGTGAAACCAAGGCCTGGAGCCCTCAACAAGGAGTCCCCTTGTGGGGCCAGTTAAGCCTGACTGTTGGCGGCCCGATCTGACCTTGCCCCTCAGTCCTGGATGACTCTTCTTTCCTGGCAAAGCAAGCTCATTTTCTCCCAAATTCCACGAGAACCCACACTGCCAACTCATCCCACGCAGAGCACGACGACTCCATTGGCTGCAACTGACGCTATCCATCAGACCCTGTGGCCTGATCTTTCTGGAACTTGCGGAGCTTAGCCTGAGAACGTTTTGCATCGAAGGCTGGATCCTCACAACCATGACAAGATTAAGATTGACGCTTGTGCAACATCAATGAAACAAAAGTACATAAGTGGAGATCAAGCCAGGGACACTTGGATCCCTTGTGCTATATGAGACACAAGTGACCCCAATCAGCATGCTTGCCATTAGCCCCAACAAACTCACTACTCCGATTCAAATGCTTTTGGTGCTGCATCGCCTGAAACCTGTCTGCAGCTTCTGCTTCTTTCTCCTTCAGGGCAGGTGTTTTGCACACAGGCTTTTGCTTGCACTCCCGTCCCACACAGCCGCCTCGAAGGACTTTCGTTTTTTTAGCTCCGGCTTCTTGGAGGCTGGGCAGCGGAAGGTGTTGAGAGTTCGAGTGGACGGAGCACAGTGACACCCAGACGCCACAGCCCTAGAAAGGCGAGCATGGCAGCGGAGCGCCTGGCTTTGGCTCCTCCGGATCCTCCTTCCGTCTCGGGACCAGCAAAGCCTGCCAGGATCTGCCAGTGTCCGTTCCGTCCGTGCCTTCTTGGCTCATGTCACTTTAAGACTCGAGTGTACAGTAATTGCCGAAGTCGCGGCCTTCTTGGCTGGTACGGCAGAGTCCTCTTCAGGCCTAGGAACGCTGAGCTGGGTCGGAAGCAGAAAGCTGAGACTGGACGTCTCTCATTGGATGAACTCAGAGCAGCAGTTCATAGCGCTCAGGTTCTTTGTCACAGGCACGTGACATGCTCAATCAGTTGTCCGTTCCTTTGGCTGTCGCAACCGTTTGAAAGAATGTGTTGGGTAGGGCCCCCGGTAGGGCAGGAAATGGCAGGGATGATACATGTTGCGGTCCAAAGCTGCTCTGGCCTGGCCGCGACCTGGCAACATCAGCAGAAGTCCCGCGGCGATCATCGACCATGAGGTAAAGACATAAGGAAAACATGTTCTAATCTCATCTCATCTCAATACCTCAAGGCCAAAATCACATCAAACCATATCAAGCCTGTGGAGCTCAGATGTTCTCAGCTGCCGGCGATTCGCTCTCTGAGCTTTCGGATGCTTCAGAGGCTGGACTGCCTCTCATGATGCAGCACTGTTGTCTAGACTGTTCCCGGAATCCTAGCTCGGCTCGGATCTGTAAAAATCAGAAAAATCGCTTCACTATGCTTGGGAAATTTCTGCAGACCTCTGAGTACAATCTGCACCGACCCCTCCTTCAGCAACCGGCACTCGCTTTGACACGGGCCCGGCACAGCGCACGCAGCGCTGGCGGCCGACAGCAATCTGCAAGTTTGCAAGCGTAGCGACCCAGCTTCATAGGAACGCATGCAACTTCCAAAACAATCTTGACTTGCGCAAGTCGGTGGAGATCATCGACAGCAGCCTCTTAAACAAATGGCCAAGGTCCGAAGTTTCCTGCTTTAGGTCAAGGCACCACTTCTGGTTCCAGTGGTCGAGAGCACTCTCCACAGCGAGCGACCTCTGCAGAATTCAAACTTGTCTCACATGGCCCATCTTGAATGAAGCCCCTCACCATATTGAAGCCGCATTGCAGCAGAAAATTCAGTAGATTCAAGACAGTCTGCAACAAGAGCCTGTACACAGCACAGCCCATCTCTAAAAGCAGCACCCGGTGCATCTTTAAAGGAAAGCCGAATCTTAAACAAAGACTGTTGGACCCTGGCGAGGCCCCGACTTTCCTTGCGCCATTGCCCAGCAGGAGGTTGGCCTCACGAGTCGCGGATTTTGAGCATTAGATGAGGCGGCGGGAAGAGTTCATGGCGCTGTGAAATTTCGGAATCGCATGAGGGCTTCAGGCAACCTCAAAAGAAAGCTGCAGCAAGCGATCCAGCAAGCCTAAAAACCTCCATCTGTGACACACGAACAATCGGAGCTGCGTCGCCGCCTGCTCCGAGAGGTCTTCTGAAGGCAGGCCCAGGGCTTCAGCCTCGCCGATGGTAACCAGATCCCTGGTGTCTGACCGTGTCTGTGAGTGTGTTGGGAGCATCTGGGCGCATGAGTTGCAGACCTCGCGACGCTCGCGAAGTCGCTTTACTGCCTGAGGCCACCAGAGAAGTAAAGCACTCCTGGTGTGGGATTAGAGCTTGTATGGGCTCTTAACACCATGTGATATGGGAGTTCCGCAACAGCCTCCTTGTCTAAACCGCGACCAGGCCGGTAAGCCATCGGTCTCTAATCTCTAACGTGCACAGGTCATGGCAGGCAATACAAGCTTCTTAGGAGCAGCTTGCCAAGGTAAAAGGTGAAAGGCAAAATGTCCGGCTTTTTGCATGTCCACTCTTGCGCAGCTTCGCTTCTTACAGCTGCTAAAGCTGTTTGAGTTTGCCTTTTTGCCTCATGTCTGCTGTGCAAGGAGGACTGTGTATGCTTCCTTTTAACATAATCTGACTCATTGTTTGCTTCTTGCCGTGCGCTTTTCAGCTGGTACTGAACCGCAACGGCTGGTTGGCACAGAATTGGCTGCTTGCACACAATAACCTCTGCCCACAGAGCTTCTGCTACCACTGCCACCGTTCGGTTTTGTCTAGGAAGCGCGTGTAATTCGTACAGAAGCCCTGGACATAAATTGTGACTTGCGTTGAATACAAGGTTGATTCCCATCTCTCTACTTCGGCACATCTCGGAGACCGCCATGAGCGTCATTAACATCCCCATGAAGGCCTCCATCAACGTGATCGCTCATGACTTTTGATGGTCATTCCCCATGCGAACACCACGAAAAAGGACACCTGCTACGTCTTACAATGACAGAAGCCTCAGATCGCAGCACACTGCAAACAACTTGATTCTACATCAGCCTCGTGGATTCTGCCCACATACCAGAGGAGGAGCTCTTTGGAAACAGACCGAGATGGTGCCCGTGGGATAGATGG